AGGGAGGTACTGCGGCTGATGCTGCTGCTCCTCTGAACGGATTTGATAAAAAGTTAATCACATAAAATGCACTCGGCTGACTCTCTCTCGGAAAAAGTCTCATAAATCTGTTTGGGAAACTGCTCCAGTCCGTGACTCTGTGCTCCCAGTCACTGCTACTCCGCTGCGGCTGCTACTCCGCTGCTACTGCTACTGCTACTCGTTCATTTAAAGGTTCATAAATAATTGTCTAAACGAGAGATTAGCCGCCAGCAAAGTTGTCATGGAAGTTTTGTGCCCCCCCGCCCGAAAGAGTTTTGCTGGATTCATCTCTGGCTGTCGACTAATTGCCCAGTAATTTGGTTTTGTGGGTTAACACCATTTCCCTGTCACAGCTTAAAATGTAATTTAGAACGTGGAAAGAAAGGGGAAAGACAGGAGTGTGTGTGGGAAATTTGTAATTGTCAAATATTAGATTAAAATATTAACTAAAATGTTAAATGGGTGGCAAGATTTAAAGGCTGTTTCTGTTTAAGAAATTTGAGAATAGAATTTTTATTTTTATTTGCCATTAAATCAAAAATTTCCAACTCTAATTAAAAAGAGCGAAAGAGTTCTCAAAGCGCACTTTAGTATTAATTAAATAGAAAATATACTTCAAATCTTTTAATTTGGGCAACACTCAAAGGCAATTCTCTGGGGCTCATTTCGTTCCCATTTGATTGGTAAAAGTTAAGTAAGAAATTCCCCATTTCCTCCATAGTTTGATTAGCTAAAAACCGTAAGAAATTCTTTAAAGATCTACTTTCCCCACAGAGAGAAACAATGAGAACTTTAAAGTCAAACAATCTCTTTTTTTCCAACCAAAAAAAAAACTCTGTCGAACAGGTACAAGAATTTTACAAGAATCCAATAAGATACGCTGCATTAAGTGCAATAAGCGGAGCAGACAACAAAAAAAAAAAACAACAAACAAATGCTCCACGAAAATGAACCATAAAATTGTATACTTAACAGACAGATAGATGGATGGATGGATGGTTGGATGGTGGAAAAAGACTGGCTCTGATTGAGTCTGCGTCTGCATCTGAGTCTGCGTCTGAGTCTGGGGTAAGTGTCTGTGGGATCATTAGAATCCGTCAGATACCTTTTAGTTCAAGTCACTCAGTGAGTTTTTCAGGTGTTTGAAAAAATATTAAGAAACGAAATTAGTGCAGACGCAAACATTTTACGTTTTTAATGATGCACACAAATTGTATATAACATTTCAGGCTCCAAACTCTTTTAACGGATTTGTGTGGCCATTAAAATGTGGCAAAGTCGTAAACTAAAAATTGGTAGTGGGCAGCAGACAGCCAAAGAAACGAAAAAAAATAGAAGTGTAGAAGGGGGGCACCATTGGCTGTGGATCGTGTGGTAATTAGTATTAAAATGCATTAAAAAAGAAGTGGAAAGAATTCACACACACACACACACACACACACAATTCCCCCCCTCCCAGAGGAAAGGTCGTAAATAAAGCCATAAAAATGTAAACCAAGTGAATGGATGGACTACCAAAAATGAAAAACTCTGTGGAAACTTAATTAGTTTCACTCGCTAACGGTAGAGTTTTGGGACAAAGAAAACTGAACACTGAAGACTGCAAACTGCAAGTTCCAAGCGATAAACTCTCAGTGATAACAATTAATTTTTTTTTTTTTTTGTGTTGGTAGAGACCTGAAATAATTTACGATTGCGGCGACTGTTGACAATGCCGTTTGACGGACAGTTCGTAAAAAAAAATAAATAAATAAACTAGACTTTTGAATTAAATAGCAGACATTTTCGAGTGGCTATAAAACAGGTATGAACAGCTGCGTGGGCGTTGCCTAGGGTCAAAGGGTCTACTCTCCCATAAATAGAATTACAAGCTCGATTGATTCTGCAATTTCTGCCTGGAATAGGATCTATGTATGGGTAATTATATTCCACTTCCACTGTGTCGATTGGGGGAAATACAAATGCTAGAATTGTCATATACCTATATGCACATATATCCCTTTGCTGCTCCTTCTCTGTCGTTCCCTTTATTTGTCATCTTTAATCCTGGTTTGGGCTCAACGCTGCCGCTGTAGGTGCACCTCGGGGATAATCCTGTCGGGCCACAATGCGCTGACATTTCTGCCAGCCGGAGAGCTGTTGACATGCAATTTGTTGAGTATGTGTGTGTCCTCACTCAACCCCACCACCATTGGCCATTCCCTACTTGGTGACTGGTCCTGTGATTGCTTGTGCCTTGTTCCTTGGTCCCACAGGCCGGGTGCACACAATTGACATTTGCTTTTGCCGACTGGGCGACAATATACGGATTTTGTGCCAAACTCCTCCGATGCTGATGCTGCTGATGCGGATGCGAATGCAGCGACTCGAACTCGGCTTTGGATTTAGAATTTTGCCCCTCGGCTTTGGCTTATTATTTGGGCATGTTTTTTTCCCTTATTTTTCCTCTTTTTTTCCTCTGTTTTTCCTCTGTTTTTTTTTTTTGTCTCTATATTTTTCATGACAAATTGAATACGTGATGTCTGCGGCCTGTTTGAGGTTTATAAACAGCATAAATATTTGCTAGATATACGCAGCAAATATGGGAAACGCATGATCCTTTGCACCAAATGAAAATTATCGGCTTGCAGCTGTGGCTTTGCCTTTTTTCCTTTGAGAGTCAATACGAATGGTATGTGTATCATAAATATATAGGTACAAGATCCCTTTAGCATAGTTGAATGATTCTTGAGATCATTTAGAAATGGAACTAGAACTGAAATGCGGTCAAGTACTGACGAAATGGAATTATTGCCGTGCCTTTCATCTCAAGAACTTCCATGTGGAAACGAAAAATAGTTTTTAAGAACGCTCAGCCTATGATCTATAGCTGAACCATGATTATATATTTATATATAAATGGTACTTTTAACATGATCTCATGATATTCTTACAAAGAACTTGATCCCTTGAGTGTTCCTTTTACTGCCCATATGAGTCTTCTGGCCTAACTGGGAGCTCTGCTACACCCACAACTATTTATGGCTGCATGTGGTAAATTTATGAACTGTTAATTTGCTGTGCGAACACATACAGTAGCCACTGTAAATGGCCAGCGTAAAACTTAATTAATTGCAGCTAATGCGCTGGCCCCCAACGAGAGAAAACTGAGAGCGGAGAAGCCGCACAAGTAAGCTGTAAGGTCTCAGGGATCCCACAGCCAGCAAAAACCAGCAACATAGATACTGGTTGGGGTGGGGTGCGGTGGGAGGCCAGTGTGAAGCAGAGCAAGAGAGAAATACAAAATTTAATAAATTATTAAAACTGCAACATGAACAGCACGCGCAGAGAGAGGGAGCGATGAAGAGACGGCCAGCAAGAGGGCAAAGAGTGTGGCTTAAAAACGATAATTAAATAAAAATATGTTTAATGTAATATTTGAAGCAGAGCAGAGCAGAAACGGAGAGGAGCAAAAGGAGCAGCAGCAACCCGCAGAGAACTTTTACGCTGTGGATGAAGCCTGCGGGTCTGCTGACTGGCTAATTGGGTCAGCTTAGAGGGAGTACAAGTGGTTCGTGTTGGCCCACACAAGTACTCGTTACTAACGTGGTTAAAAGTCTGGTTATTAGTTGTTCTTATCAAATTAACTAAGAAGCGGACTTAAAGCCCCGGCCAGGCATTGGTTTAAGGTTGGGTTTCCTCTGAACCAATTATCATTTTACAGCGTTTAACAGTCTATCAATATTCAGGATAAAGCTAAACCAACAATTAACGATTTTCAGTCTCTGTCTATCCTTATTGGCTTCGATTCTATACCAAAAAAAAAATAGTTCAATGAAATGAAAACCCGCTCTTTGCACCCAATTCCAATTCCAAACGTAATTCACACAAAACTCACTTGTTTCGGCTGCTTGTTGGATTCGATTGCAGCCAGCAGGGCAGCAGCACGTGAGGCCAGAGCGAGCAGCCCATCAATGAGAGGTTGAGCTGAGGACTTGACTTGAGCTGCCAGCTGCCATAATCATTAGTGGAGCAGAATGCCAAAGCTGAAGCCAGAGACTGGATGCTGATGCCAAATCCCACCCACGCACACCAAATGCTACGGAGGAGCCCGATCAAATCACAGCGCCCTCTCCGGCACGCTCTCTCTGTGTTCAAGGCAGGGGAATAAAACATTTCCATGAGCTGACGATTTGACAGCTTTGCTTTTGCCAGCAGCAGTAGAGTCCAGGGTGGTGCAGCTGGAGCAGCTGGATCAGGAGGAGTATTGTAAATTATGCGTAGTCGATGCTTGCTTGTTGGTTTTAAATTTCAAATGGTTTTTTTCGTGGGGGGCTTTTGCTTTTGCCTTTCATTTTTACGTGCAAGAAAGAAACCCTCCTTCGAAATACTCTCAAAAAAAAAAAAAGCCACGCAACAATCTGGGACTGGAACTGGGGACTGGAATTGCATTCATTATATGTTTCAGTCGCACTCTACCAGGGGCTCTACTCTATCCGCACCTCTACGCGTACAAGTGGCAGTGCCATTCGACTTATTTGCATTATTCGTGAGCCAAAAAAAGAAAAGAAACCCACTTGACTAATGTTTTTCTGGCTGTAGCTGTGGCTGTGGCTTTGGCTTTTGTTGGTGTTTGGCTTTGACTGCACACGAGATTTAATAGGATTTTAGTGCATTGAAGTGATTGCCCCACCAATATTTGATGATGATGATGTTCAGGCGGGTAGCTGGAGTGAAGTTTATGCATGTGGCTGGGCGGAGTAATCCAGCTTGATGCGTTTCTGTTCTTTGGCAGCCCATTAGTGAGTGATGAGAGCTAAGGGAAATGGTCAAATGGGGGAGTTATTAAATGGAAGAGTGCAAGAAATGCATAGATTTGTGTATTTAATTCCCATAATCTTTTATATTTATATATTTTATTTTTATTATATATTTTTTATTTTATTTTTTTAATTCTATTTTTTTATTTTCTTTTTTTATTTTCTTTCTATTTCTTCCAGAAACTTTTACCTGTCTATATACAAAACCTATGGCTAAAACTTGGGTAAGTTCTGATCAGATTACACAAACATTTAGCTTCTTTAGTTAAATTAAAATTATTCAATTAAACGGAGTATGCAGAAAAGGCTGCCCACAAGTCCCTTTTCTCTTATTCAGTTGTATGTGCAGTAGCCGTGAGTTCCATTTAATTTCAATCAAAAACATACTCGGGGAAATTCGGGCACTTCTTCTTCTTCAAGTTGCGGAGTAGCCGACACAAACCGAATCTCTCTGACAGTTTAAGGAAGTTGGAGTTTAACAGCATTTCCACGTGCCACAAGGCACAGCACACAGAGTCCGGTACCGAAAACCAACCGAAAGCCAACAAAGAGCCAAGTGGAGAGTGCTCTGCTCTGCTCTGCAGAGGGGGCAGCTGTAGAGAGTTGCTCTCTGGTTTTGGTCTACGGACTGTTTGTAAATTTATGACTAGCCTTTGGCTTCTAATGAGTTTGTCGGCATCACTCACAGAAGAGGTAGGGAATGGCATGGGCATGGGCTGGGCATGGGCATGGGCATGGGCATGGGCATGGGCATGGGCATGGGCATGGGCATGGGCATGGGGCATGGGCTGTGGCGCCACCCAAAAAGCAGCTTAGAGCAACGCGTCACAACCTTTTCCATGGGGGGTGGTGGGTGGAAGGCCCACAACATCGCATAATGGGTTAAAAATGCGTAAACGATTTTGGGGCGTTTTTGTAAGCTTCTTAGACTTTTGCATGAGATTTCCCATAAATTGAGTGGCCGCTCCGCTGCCGTGTCGGAGTTTTGCAAGCCCAGCGAGCAAAGAGACAGAGACAGAGAGAGAGAGAGAAAGAGAGAGGTTCTGGTACTTGACCTGACTTGGCGGAAGCATTTTGATTGATTTACACACACACACACACACACTCACACAGATCTGAGTGAGGAATAGGAGACTAGGAACTGCCTGGCTGGCTGCCTACAGCCTGGGGCTCGTGCCTTTTCGTTCATGTGATGAAATTTGTGAAGCCACACACAAAATACGGCCGTATTTCTTCAAGTTCCGGCATTAAGTGCACACTGAAGACTGTCAGTCAGGGCAGTCAGGCAGGGCAGTAAGGAAGGGCAGGGCAGTCAGGCAGGGCAGGGCAGGGCAGTCAGGCAGGCAAATTAATTAAGTGACGTTCTGGCCATGAAATGGAGTTCAGACTCTAAATGGTTGGGGGTGTGGGGTGATGCTGCTGCTTGTCAAATTAATTAAACGCACACCAAAGACACATTCCAGGCGCTGCTGTACAGTGAGCACTCTGCTGAGAGAGAGAGAGAGAAAGCTTTGCTGTGGCTTTTGTTAAGCTTCGGCAATTTACACCTGTCAGTGTTGATCCGGCTTGAAGACCGACCAGTAAATGTCGCCAGTACCCCGGAATTTATGTCTGTCAAGACCGAGACCAGAACTCAGCCCACACAATGTCACAGGAATTCATATAGTTTGTGTGTGTGTGTGTTTGTGTGTGTGTGAATCGTTTTCAATTTCTGTTGAAGTGCATTGAATCGTAGCATATTTTTGGGCGCACAGGCCCAATGCCGCTTGCCTTTATTCAATTTCCTAATTGCCCTTGATAGCCGAGCTCGTAACGTAACGTAACCAAACCAAAAAACTTTCGCTAGAGTCAACAATTTTTAAACCGATTTTCACAGTCAAAAAAAAATACAAAATTTGGTTGAACGGCAACGGCAACAGTCAGGGGCTGGACGAATATGGAAATACACTTTCGCGTTCATGGCCGAGAAAGTTGTTCAAGCTTAAACCCAATTTATAATTAAATATGCCTTAGATTTCCATTGATTTGATGGCTATGGGCCATGATTGCAGCCCCTGCGATACACGGAAATGTTTGCTTCTAGTTTGCATTGCATTCTGCTGCTTAAAATGCTCATACCCTTAGGACTGTAGCCAGAGCATCCGCATGCCAGAAAAATACACACACACACACACAAAAATCCCTTTGCTGACATAGTTTTGCCCATTGATCTGATGGCTTAGTCCCCGCCCGATGCCTGGCAGCGGAAATTAGGCAAACTCTGAACTGAACAGAAAGGGTTGGCTAGATATAGCCCTCTATATATGTATGTATACCCCACCCAACTGACTCCCACTCTCACTCTACCGCTGCACTGCTCTTTGCTACCGCTCCGCTGTGGCATTAAAAAGCAATTTTGCGGCTCAGTTTCATTGAAAGGTTTACCAGTTTACCAGTCTGTCATTTTGGGGCATGTTTGTCCCGTTTCTGTTTCTGTTTCACGTTCAGTTTTAGTTTTAGTTTTTATTTTGTTAGTGTCAGGGATTTAGCAAACATCGACACTTGTGGCTGCTGCAGGCAGGCAGGCAGGCACTGGGGCTTTAATGGGTTAATGTTGACTCTGGTGATAACATCGATATGGGGGCAGGGCAGGGCTTTAAATGGGTGTGCAGTTTTAAGTGGATTTTTGTGGATAGTTTTGGAGGTGTTGGGAGTGTCAAATGGGGGCAGTAGCTAACCAGAAAAGTAGCACAGGGTAAGGCTTAGGCTGCATGGCAAATAGAAGCCTGTAAAGCGACTTGGATATACTCCCCGAATGCTGTATATATATTGGTGTGTACCTGTTGGGATACCCTCTACATGGCATCCTTCCCCCCTCCGACATCGCAAACTGTTTGAATCGCTTCTGACTAATGCATTGGCGTGGAGAATGAAAATGAGACTGAAGCATGAGGCTAAAGTGTCCTGTCCCCAGTCCTGTCTCAGTCCTGTGCCAGTCCTGGCTGGCTGCTGCCGCTGCTCCAACTGGTTAACATTGTCTGAAAGCATTTCCAAGTGACATGCAACCAAATTGCAACTTAAACGGGGCAAAGACAGCCAAAGGAGCAGCTAGCCCGGGCTGAAGGCGTGTGTCCATGCTTCATTCTACAGGCAGCCGCCCGCCCCCGCCACTCCTGCATCCTTGTTGTCTGTTCTATTTTGTATAATTTAGCGAAAGCGCCCAGACAACGCCTGAGGATGAGGCATGTGGCATGATGGGGGAATGCTGGGGGTGCAGACAGCGGGTGCGAACTTCTTTTTTAATGCAATTAGTGAATGCTGGAAAACATTTAACACACACACACACACACGCACAAAGAGTAAGGCAGACTGCACACACATACACACACCCCACACACACACACCCCACACACACACACACACATGGCCTGCTCTCCCCGCTGTCGTCGGGAGCCTCTAATTGAAGCTGAAAGGCGCTGCAAATGAATGAAGTCAACGCCAAAATGTTGTACGAAAATTTTGCGACATCTAAAATGCAATTACGTAATCAGCATACACAGGCAGCAGAGCAGCAAAACACCCCACACCCCACCCCCACACCCTGCCCCAAGAAACAGAGACACATGGGTAAAAAAAAAAACAAAAAATAAAAATAAAATGCAGCTTAAATTTTATTTATTGCATATTTATTGCATATTTGCAAGAAGAAAACATACCAAAATTGGGAACTAAAGCCAAGCAAAATCCTTGGCAAGAATTTTGTGTGTTGTTTGCTTGTTTGTTTGTTTGTTTGTTTGTCTATTGCCCTTGCTGGTCCTCTCTCTATCTCTCTCTCTTTCCGACAGCCGAGTGTTTGCACTAATTGAAAATTTGCATAAAATCAATTTTAATTGAAAATCTTGTCTTGGCCAGGGCTAAAAGTTAAGTGAACAACTCACTGGCTCACTCAAACATATTCGTTCATGCACTCGCACTCGCACTAGAACAGCACAGCACATTCATTCCAATCATTTGAAGGCAAGTTGAAGCCCAGACAAATATTGGCATTTGCTCTGCTCTGCTCTGCTCTGCCCCCGCCTTCAAGATGTTCAATAAGATTACACGTACTCGTAGATACACAGATACGAGCATTTATGTGTGAGGCTGTGGCATGGCATGGCATGGCTTCTTCTTGGATTGCCTTTACTTGTGCTTCTTGTGTGTGTGCGTTATTTATTTATGGCTGGCCAAAAACTTAAGCATTAAAAATTAAATTAAATCCTCAAGTTTTGCCCTCAAGATGCTTTTTGACTTTTACGTCTGTGTGTCTGTCTGTCTGCCTGTCTGTCTGCCTGTCTGTCTGTCTGTCTGTCTGCCTGTCTGTCTGTGTGTCTTGGCCGCTTGTCCTTGTTGCCATTTTCAGTTTTGCAATTAGCTAAATTTCATTATTTAATTTATACATAAAGCAAATTGCTGTACACTCTGACAAATGTGTTCGTGTGTGTTTGGCAGGAACTCTCAGCTCTGCATTTGTTGCTGCTGCTGTCATCGTTGACCTGTTGTCCTCTTCCATTCTGTGCTCAGAGCGCAATTAGTTATTTAGTAGTGCCGGCAATTGCCAAAACTGTTGAAATTATTGGCCCTATCCCTTGGGGGGGGGGGGCACATGGCCATCCATTGTCCATTAAGTGTGGAGCCAAGTGAATTTTTAATAATGAGTGGGCATCATGAGAGAGTGCAGCGAGTGAGGGAAGGCCTTAAGGGGCAAGCTGAGAGCGCGCAGTGACTGATATTTGGGGGCATGGAAAAATTCCTTTCTTTTTATTCATGGCTGTGATTTGCTCTCTAAGTTCTGCTACGACTGTTGCCCCACCTTCCACCATTTCCTTTCCAATTATTCACTTGACTTGAAAAGGCCAACCCACAACTCACTCAGCCCCAGCCCCATCCCCAGCCCCAGTCATAGTTACAGCCACATCATATGCCCCTCAAAATGCTGATGACTTTTATGAAGCTCTCTCTCTCTCTGAAAAGTTGCTACGAGGACTGTCACACCATCAAAGTTGCTGCCCCACAGGGGCCACCATCCCCCAACACCTCCTCCTGTGCTTGGAGTGCGCCTTGTGGGGACATGTTGTCGTCCATTGTTCTCGCTCTCTCTCTCTCTCTCTCTCTCTCTCGGCTGTTAGTTTAGTGCTCATGGGGCATGCCAAACATGTGAATAATAATTTTATTTGCCTTTCAATTTGCATATGCCTGGCCGTAC